AAAAGGACTCTCATTAGCCAAAGTAACATGAAAAATACACCATGCAGTCATACATATGGCTCTTCATATTTTGCTGCTGCTGTTGCTTTAATGCAAATTGCAGGACATGGACACATTGTGGCATAATTAGACAAATAGCCTTTTAAATGTACGGTTTTGTTTTGTCTGCATGACATTACTACCCAAGAATTCGAGAGGCATAAGGGATACGCTAATTTGGAGAAAAATCACTTGATTTTTCTGCTTTCATTACCATTAAAATTGGAGTCTCCCGTCCATTGCATTGTGTGCACTAAACACTGTACAGACTAAGCTGTGACCCACACTTGGCTCCTCACCAGCACACACACAGGAGGTGAAAGCTGGCAGTGCCCTGTAAATCAGTAATCGAGCACTCTCATTGTACACCGTTCTGTGCTGAGGGCTCATTCGCATTCTGATCAGGAATATTCACCATTGATTCCTTTTGTAAGGTTCTCTAGTTCTAAGTTAAATAAAATAACAGCAATAGAAATTTGGGTAGGAACCTAATTTTCTCCACTCGCTAAAAGGCTCTTCGAAGAAGGGGCTAAGAAGAAGAAATAATACAAAGAAAAACGGTTAGAAGAACAATTATGGAGAAGTGTACAAACTACATCTTTGTAGCCAGAGAAAAGCTTGATTGGGTTTGTGCTCATTAAGTCAAGATTGTGTTCTAATGCTGAAAATATTTTGAAAGCTCAGTGCTGAAGAAGTTTGATCTGAAATGTGCCGTTTAGATGCTTAAGAAACGTGTTGTTTCTTTTTTCTTTTATTTTTTCAGTAATTTGTTTTACATTTTGTTACTGAACAAGTAACTGCAAAAAAAAAAAAAATCGTAAGAAAAAAAGAAACGCAACATTGACACTGTATATTGGGCCAACTAAGTCCCCTTTACATAACTGCTGTCCCAGCCATTATTGGAATGGTAACACACGTACACTCCCTCTTAGCTCTCACATTGCTCTGCCTGAGCGATTTGTCACTAGGCCCAAGTAGAGATTGGAAGGCCTAGGAAAAAAAACAAACATTGGGAAAATACCTTTTTTAGGGTTTTTTTTCCAAAGCCGTTTTTTTTTCCTGAAAAAAATTGAATAAAAAGTATGAAATATGTTCTTTTACAACAATAATAATAGATCTATCAAGGAATGCAGTCTGGGATTCTGCAAAACATATCCCTCCTGCAAGATGGTGGAAAGGTCTCTGCACGATATAACATCTTCTGCTACCTGTGAAAGAATCTGCCTATGTTTGGTAGTATTCATGCCAAATCAAGAAACAAATGGACCTGTGAAAAAGTAGAAAAGCTTGCTTCAATTCACGCAAACCTTACGTTTTTAGAAATCTGTGAGAAAAATGACTGATATGAGGAGGTAGAAGAAACGAAAAATTATGTTGATTAAATCACGTGTATTAAGTTGTGTCTTCTGTTTCCTTTTCTCATTTTATTTTTTAAAGCACCACTCAAAAGTTAAACCTCACTATTGCGCTTAAATATTGGGGTGGACCTTACACCTCCAATGCCCATATCCTGTTGGCACAAATAATGCTAATTACTTACCTTTTTATTTGCTGTTGGCGCTAATATTATTTATTTATTTATTGCTGATATTTATTTATTTAAGGGTTCTTGCCTTTTTTTTTTTTTTACTGCTTTTAAGAGAAAAGGGGGTGGTTACTGGTTCTCATGTATAGCTGAAATCTTCTTAATATACAGTATAATATAATATACAGTCAACAATTTGTAATAAAAAAATAAACATTTAGTTTATTTACTGAGTACGCTGTACTTTTTATTTCAAGCATAATATTTTTATATACCCTGCATTTCACCTTCCCAGTGTAACAAAATAATTTTTAATTTGTAAAATTTTTTCACGCTAATTTTTTTTCCCTCAGTTCTAAAAATTTCCAATTTTTTCCAGAAAAGAATAGAGACATATATATATATATATATATATATATATATATATATATATATATATATGTATGTATATGTATGTATATTTTCTCATGGCCTCAAACTTTATGGAAATTTTACATCTTTTTTTAAAACGTATTTACTTTAACAGCGATCTTTCACCAGGGATTTTTACATAAAATGACATAGTTCCTAAGAAATGTTAATGACCACTGTGACGATCGTGGCGTCAGACCCCAGCCCTTCACACCAAACTCGTGACCGAAGAACTAGCCAATCTAGAACAGCGCTGTCACGTGCGTAACAATGCCACGCCCAGCTGCGCCCTGCACAAAGATTTTCCAGCTAATGGACCACAATCTGTGTACTTGCAGCCTGGGAGCGATTGTTACTGGGTCAGGTTAATTATGCAATTAACCCTTCACACTGCCACCACCTCCTTTTTGTACAGTGAAAGAGGAAACTCGGCAATATCAGCAATAACACTATGATGTTTGCATAAGCGTCGGTATACCGCTGTCACCGCAGGCAGAGATATACCGAAGTTTAAAACACACACACAGTAGCGCTCTTCAGAGGCAGGGATTCTTAGTTTGCATTAAAGAGCTTTAGAAACAGTTCAACACTTTCAGAAAGTAAGATTTATTACTAAAAGGTCAAAAGGGTGCAATAAAAATATTTACAGAAAAAGATGTAGCCTGTGTATATATATATATATATATATATATATATATATATATATATATATATATATATATATATATATATATATATACACACACACACACACACACACACACACAAAGAGCAATAGCACAGCAAAGAGATAACAGAAAGGAATTTAGAAGGGCCGTCTCCCAGAGTTGGTTCCGATATTACAAGGGAGAATCTTCAACTTAGCTCGACTCAGCTTAGCTTAGCTTCAAGCATAACAACCTTTTTCTAGGAACTCAGCAGGGTGTCTCCCTGAAGCAGAGAACCAATCGCCTCATTTGGGGAGGGAGTTGTAGGCGAGAAGCTCAGGCTCTGACCAAGCCCTCACAAATTATAATATAGTCAATAACTTTTCCTAAGTACATTTAACATTCCACCCATGGGTAGATTAATACGCAGAATCATCTGCTGAATGTCTAGATATGAAGTATGACATACCCGCTGGGACGGTTAAGGAGATGTCATTTTCTGCTCTCCTGGAGCTGTCAGCTAGGGGGTGTAATATATCAGGCGATTTGTATTAAAATGAGCCATCTGAATATGTGCTCCATGTTTGTGTAATTATTTCCTATTTGGAGATATAAAATTATATGGAAAACTGGGTTTTTAAATGCAAGTCTGGTTTACGACTACCTGGAATGTCTTTGAGCTCAGTGAAGGACTTGGTTTATGGTTTTACTATCCTTTCCTAAGCAGAATCTCGCAGACATATGGGGGCCAGTCTAATTGGGGTTTATAGCCATGAGCTCTTCCACTGGACCTTGATGCCTTTTTGAACTCAGCGACCAGGGACCACGTGTCACTCAACAGAGAGGGAGCGGGAAGCTGATTTGGGAGTAGAGAATGATAGAAGATGGAGGCCTTTGCCAAAATGGAGGTTTGCATCCATCTCTGTGTGCACGATTGCTACAACCACCTGGATTGGGACCCTTTCACACATGCTAATCATTTGTCCGTTTATCATCCATCTGTTGGATGAAAAATGGACATCAGTGCATCTCTATAGAAAAGTGGATGTAAATAGATGATCATCAGTTTACATCCACATTTGTCATTTGTCAACATCCTTTTTTTTTTTTTTAAAACGGATCAAAACCCTATTTATGTTCCATTGAAAAAATGGAGCTGTAGAAAACCGATCTAAATGGGCAAACAGTCCGTTTTTGCATCTGTTTTTGCAATGGTAATGGATGTGAAAAACTGATAGTAAACTGATGAAAAACCGATGGTAAAATTACGAAAAACTGATGAAAAAATGTTAACTTCATCCGTTTTGTTTGTTTGAAAAAATGTGACTGAACTGATAAAACAATTGGTCTGTACGTATGAAAGTGACCTAAAGATCACCCCATAATCCTCTTCTGAAATAGCCCCTTTTTGCTTGATTCTTCGGTAAGTGTCATGTCCCTGCTTCCATTACTTTACATATTTATTGCCCTCTATGATATCATAACAATATAAGAAACCATATGAATGCACTTATCAAAAAGCACATAAATATAAAATGAGGTTTGAGCAATATTTATTTTTGATGAATGATTATTTTTCGTAATAAAAGCTTCAAAACAGCGTCTTCCAAATTCTGTGCGCAAGGATCCAAAATGTGCACACTTTTTTTCTGTTAGATTTTATGTTGGAGACCCTGGCAGATTGGTACATGTTTGTTAATTCAAGTTGCAAAGTGCTGTGACCAAGAATCGTGGAAATGGAATTTTCTTGGAGATTGTGCAGGTTCCTTGTCTATATTCAGGAGTAAGGCAGGCCATAGATGATTCGAGTTTCTTTTGTTGCTGAAAAGAAAGTTACACGATTCCCCCATCAGCACAGTCAGGGTTGATGTGGGAATGCCTTCAACTGAGCAATTGTGTTCTGGCTGCAGGGAGCCTTCCAAACTGGCAGAACACAATACTTATTGCTATCGGCTATAGCCTCCGGTAGTGATCACATGTAAAGAATCTGACAAGCTGGTTGTACCCATGTTGATCGATGGATCAACTTGAGTACAAACATCCTGCCTGTAGATGAATCAAATATCGGCCAGTCCCTGCTGAACTGGCCAAGATTTGTCAATCTTTGGCTGGCTTAAAATTGATACCTTAGATTGTACGCCCCCTTGAGGGTTAGGGACTGATGTGAATGTACAATATATACAGTATATGTAAAGCGCTGCGTAAATTGATGGCGCTGTATAAGTACCTGGAATAAATAACTAAATAAAATACCTGTCCATTGGTGCCATTATTCACTATCACATTGACAACAGCATGTGCTTGACGTTCACTTTGCTTTATTTTATAAAAAAAAAATGTAAAAAAGTGTTTTTTTTTTTTGTTTTTGTTATTTTTAGGATAAGCAGTCCTGGCAGAGTGAGAGGGAAATCTTTACCACCCCTGGCATGAAACATGAAAACCTCTTGCAATTCATTGCGGCTGAGAAGAGAGGCACAAACCTGGAAATGGAGCTGTGGCTGATCACTGCTTTCCATGAAAAGGTAGAATTTCCTGTTAAGCCATATACTTGCCGGTAAATGCCTGGCTGTATATATCACCAGGGGCCATAATTAAAACTACTGACAAAGCTTATAACTGGTATTCACTTGGTTATTTTTAGTTTGATGTAGATGTTGGCTCTCTTTCAAGTATTTTCCTTAAAGTAGAGTAGTTTTTTTTTTTTTTTTTTTTTTGAATTAAGGAATGGTTATAACCCCAGACAGGTTTTTCTTTGCCATTTGTTTCCCATTGGGGAGATTTCCTTTCACTTCCTGTTCCACAGTCAAAATAGGAATTAAGAGGAAAGCCTTCAAAAGTGAAGGAATTCCTGGTTTTCACCAGAGCTACTAGATCCCCATTGGAATCCCCACCAGGGACACCAAATGTACCCATTGGAAGATTTCCCCTCTATTCCTGTTCTGGTGACAACCCAAATGTGGGATTTTCTTTAAAGTGATATGAAAGGGTTATTTCTTTTTAAATAACAAACACATCATACTTACCTGCTCTCTGTAAAGGTTTTGCGCAGAGTAGCCCAGATCCTTCTCTTCCTGGTTCTCCCACTGGTGATTCTGGCCCCTCCCTCCTGTCGGGTGCCCCCACAGCAAGCAGCTTGCTATGGGGGCACCCGCTGCTACGTGTGTCCACACACACTTTGGCTTGGCCCCACCCCTTCTCGCTTCTCAGTGGCTGACTGGCTGTGATTGACAGCAGCAGGAGCCAATGGCTGCTGTCTCAGCTATTGAGGAGAGGGATTCCCGGGACAACGCAGTTGTTGCAGATTTGTGGACTGCAAATCCATAATGCGAATCTCCTGTTCCACCACATCCCAAAGGTGCTCTTTTTGGATTGAGATCTGGTGACTGTGGAGGCCATTGGAGTACAGTGAACTCATTGTCATGTTCAAGAAACCAGTTTGAGATGATTTGAGCTCTGTGACATGGTGCATTAGCCTGCTGGAAGTAGCCATCAGAAGATGGGTACACTGTAGTCATAAAGGGATGGACATGGTCAGCAACAATACTCAGATAGGCGGTGGTGTTTGAACGATGCTCAATTGGTACTAAGGCGCCCAAAGTGTGCCAAGAAAATCTCCCCCACACCATACACCACCACCAGCCTGAACCATTGAAACAAAGCAGGATGGATCCATGTTTTCATGTTGTTTACGCCAAATTCTGACCCTACCATCTGAATGTCGCAACTGAAATTGAGATTCATTAGACCAGGCAACGTTTTTCCAGTTTTCGATTGTCCAATTTTGGTGAGCCTGTGCGATTTGTAGCCTCCTTTTCCTGTTCTTAGCTTACAGGAGTGGCACCCGGTGTGGTCTTCTGCTGCTGCAGCTAATCTGCTTCAAGGTTTGATGTGCGTTCAGAGATGGTATTCTGCATAGCTTGGTTGTAACGAGTGGCTATTTGAGTTACTGTTGCCTTTATCTTCTTGAACCAGTCTGCCCATTCTCTTCTGACATCAACAAGACATTTTCATCCACACAACTGATGCTCATTTGATATATTCTCTTTTTCGGACCATTCTGTGTAAACCCTAGAGATGGCTTTGCTTGAAAATCCCAGTAGATCAGCAGTTTTCAAAATACTCAGACCAACCCATCTGGCACCAACAACCATGCCACATTCAAATGCTGGCCATACATTATACAATTATCTGGAGATTTTTGGTTTAGATTTACCAAAAACCATATAATAGGAGGACAAACCTAAACAACACTTTCAGTTGTATCCAATTAGGCAGGCCCTTGCACTACACAGTTGAAGGTAAATCTAAAGGAAATTGGGCAGAAAATTGGAAGATAATTGTATAATGTATGGCCAGCCAAAGTCACTTAAATCACCTTTCTTCCCTATTCTGATGCTCTGTTTGAACTTCAGCAAGTTGTCTTCTCGATGTCTAGATGCCTAAATGCATTGAGTTGCTGCCATGTGATTGGCTGATTAGCAGTTCGTGTTATCAAGCAATCGAACAGGTGTACCTAATAAAGTGGCTGGTGAGTGTATAATGGCATGTCCATCTTATGCAGGCCATAGATGGGTCGAAAAATCAGCCAATTTTTCTTTAAAAAAACGAAAAATCGGTCGTTCAAGCGGCCGACGTTACCAGCAACAGTAAAAAAAATTGGCCGATTTTCATCCTGTCTACAGCCGGCAAAAAGTGTCCCTGCAGAGAGCTCCGCTATTTCTTTGACAGTTCCTTGACATTTATAGCGGTTGCAACAATGTATTTGTATCCATTTAGGATACAGATGTTTTTATTCGGAAACAAATAGATACATTGTTGCAACCGCTATAAATGTCAAGGAACTGTCAAAGAAATAGTGGACCTCTCTGCAGGGAGATTTTTTGCCGGACTGGAATTCCTCTTCTTCATCCTCTTCTTCTTCATCTTCTTCTTCCTCTTCTTCATCCTCTTCTTCATCCTCTTCTTCATTTTCTTCATCCTCTTCTTCATCATCCTCTTCTTCATCATCCTCTTCTTCATCTTCTGCATCCTCTTCTTCATCTCCTCTTCTTCATCCTCTTCTTCTTCCTATTCTTCTTCCTCCTTCTTCTTCTTCCCTCCTCCTCTTCTTCCTCCTCTTCTTCCTCCTCCTCTTCTTCATCCTCTTCTTCTTCTTCCTCTTCTTCTACTTCATCCTCTTCTTCTACTTCTTCCTCTTCTACTTCTTCTACTTCTTCCTCTTCTTCTTCCTCTTCATCCTCTTCTTCTTCATCCTCTTCTTCTTCCTCCTCTTCATCTTCTTCATCCTCTTCTTCATCCTCTTCTTCATCCTATTCTTCTTCTTCCTCCTCCTCTTCATCCTCTTCTTCATCTTCTTCTTCATCCTCTTCTTCTTCTTCATCCTCTTCTTCATCCTCTTCTTCTTCTTCATCCTCTTCTTCTTCCTATTCTTCTTCTTCATCCTCTTCTTCTTCCTATTCTTCTTCTTCCTCCTCTTCTTCTTCTTCCTCTTCCTTTTCTTCCTCTTCTTCTTCTTCTTCTTTTTGTCTTCCTCTTGCAGGTCACTGCTCATGCGCAGATTTTTTTATCGGTAAAAAGATCGGCCGATTTGCCCATCATTGCCGCGAAAATCGGCCGATCGGCAAAAATCGACCGATTTTTTTCCAACTTTATCGATAAAAAAAAATCTGCCAAAATACTGAAAAACGGGGGTTCCTCCGAAACAATTAGCCCACTAACGATCCGAAAATCGGCTGATTTTATTTTCGGCCGAAAAATCAGCCGATTTTTCGACCCATCTATGGCCTGCATAAGACTACCTTATCCACAGGGCGACAACACTGCTGCATGATTTTGCCGCAGAATGAAAAGCGTTGTCACCATGTTCAACAAAGTTGAAAAATAGCATCTACTGGCAGGATCAATGGGTAATAAAACGGTTACTCAGAAAAGCTAAAACTAGTGACTTGTTGCAACCGCTATAAATGTCAAGGAACTGTCAAAGAAATAGTGGACCTCTCTGCAGGGAGATTTTTTGCCGGACTGGAATTCCTCTTCTTCTTCATCCTCTTCTTCTTCATCTTCTTCATCCTCTTCTTCATCATCCTCTTCTTCATCTTCTGCATCCTCTTCTTCATCATCCTCTTCTTCATCATCCTCTTCTTCATCCTCTTCTTCTTCCTATTCTTCTTCCTCCTCTTCTTCTTCATCCTCTTCATCCTCTTCTTCTTCATCCTCTTCTTCTTCATCCTCTTCTTCTTCATCCTCTTCTTCTTCATCCTCTTCTTCTTCTTCTTCTTCTTCTTCATCCTCTTCTACTTCTTCCTCTTCCTCTTCTACTTCTTCCTCTTCTTCTACTTCTTCCTCTTCTTCTACTTCTTCCTCTTCTTCTACTTCTTCCTCTTCATCCTCTTCTTCTTCATCCTCTTCTTCTTCATCCTCTTCTTCTTCTTCTTCATCCTCTTCTTCTTCCATCCTCTTCTTCTTCATCCTCTTCTACTTCCACTTCTTCATCTTCTTCATCCTCTTCTTCATCTTCTTCATCCTCTTCTTCCTCTTCTTCATCCTCTTCTTCTTCATCCTCTTCTTCTTCTTCCTCTTCTTCTCATCTTCTTCTTTTTGTCTTCCTCTTGCAGGTCACTGCTCATGCGCAGATTTTTTTATCGGTAAAAAGATCGGCCGATTTGCCCATCATTGCCGCGAAAATCGGCCGATCGATCGGCAAAATCGACCGATTTTTTCCAACTTTATCGATAAAAAAAATCTGCCAAAATACTGAAAAACGGCCGAACAATTAGCCCACTAACGATCCGAAAATCGGCTGATTTTATTTTCGGCCGAAAAATCAGCCGATTTTCGACCCATCTATGGCCTGCATAAGACTACCTTATCCACAGGGCGACAACACTGCTGCATGATTTTGCTGCAGAATGAAAAGCGTTGTCACCATGTTCAACAAAGTTGAAAAATAGCATCTACTGGCAGGATCAATGGGTAATAAAACGGTTACTCAGAAAAGCTAAAACTAGTGACTACATCATATGTCATTTTTTTATTTTTTTCCATTTCAATATCCGCTTATAATTCAGGAAGATATAGGGAGTATACATTTGGATGTATATAATATAATGTTTAACTGACAGTTTTTTTTTATATAACTCACAATTTTCATGCTTGCTTTCCTGTATTTTCGGGATTGTATTTGTAGGTTCCCCCATCATTGGCTTTTTTTTTTTTTTATCATGACCGTGATAGGAGACCAACTGCTGAGATTACAGGATAAGCCACAGCCTAAGCAAACTGATAAAACGAGCAATAATCACAGCTCAGCACTACTGAGTGGGAAGCACAAGCCACATATGTAATGAGCAAACATTTCTGTAATTTTCTACATATGTAGCTAGAAACTCTAAATAGAAAACAAATCCTTTTTTTTTCCCAAAGACGTTAACATATGCTAAGAAGAGTATTTACATGTGATTGATCGCATTAATAGACAGCAAATTCCCTATGAGAAATCTTAACTCAAGTCTACAGCCTGTACGGCACGCACAAGTGGAATGGAATAAGATCAGCCATCCGCTTTATAAATTCTATTAACCTCATCAATTCTGTGATAAGTAACTATGAATGTTCATTAGCCGAATGAACAAACTTTGGTTCGTGTACAGCTGTACTTTAATAAATCGCACTGCTAAGGCAGCCTTGCCTCTTTTCTCCCAGCTGTGCTGCTGCACATGTTAAATGTATAGAAGGGAACACAGAGACACTGTTGGACTGCAGAACAAGAACAATGGATACATCAACTCCGAGAAACGTGCCTAAAAATCCTGCTTTATAATTGGATATAAAACAATAATTCATCTGCATGGATAAAAAATGACTTTCATAAACCAATATTATCCATTCAGTTTAAAAAAAAAAAAAAAAAAAATTCCCAGCGTCACCCCCTCCTTCATGATCTGCACCTCTATTCTGTGTGCCTTTATAAATTTATATGGTGCAACCTCCGAAATGTGACATTAGATTTCTTTAAAACACTGCAGGGAGATTGGAGAAGTAAGAGTGACATCTAGTGGCCAGATTGATATTGCAGCTGCCACTAAGGGAGGAATGTTGCACTTCACACAGTTTACCAAGTTAGAGATACTTGCACTTCCTGCATTGTGTTCATTAAAATGTCTATTCTTAAATAAAGTAATCTGGCTTCCCATTATGTTTTTGCTCCAGGGGCTCTCTGACAGACTATCTAAAAGGAAACATCATAAACTGGAATGAGCTGTGCCACATTGCAGAGTCTATGGCACGAGGGTTGTCGTATCTTCATGAAGACGTGCCTCGCTGTAAAGGCGAAGGGCACAAGCCTGCCATTGCTCACAGGTATGAATGAGTACTATTTCGGCAACATGTATCGATGTATGGAGGAGATCAGCTATGAGGAAAGATTAGAGGAACTGATTTTATTCTCTCTTGAGAAGAGGAGATTAAGGGTGGATATGATCAACATGTATAAATACATCAGTGGTTCATATAGTGAACTCGGTGTAGAGTTATTCACCCTGAGGTCATCACAGAGGACAAGGGGGCACTCTTTACATGTGGAGGAAAAGAGATTTAATCTCCAAACATGAAAAGGTTTTTTCACAGTGAGAGCTGTGAAAATGTGGAATAGACTCCCGCAAGAGTTGGTTCTGGCCAGCTCAGTGGATTGCTTCAAAAAAAGCCTGGATTATTTCCTAGATACACAAAATATAACTGGTTACTAACATTTATAGGTAATGTTGATCCAGGGAATATCCGATTGCCTCACGGGGTATCAGGAAGGAATTTTTTTCCCAGCAGGAGCAAATTGGATCATGCTTTTGCTGGGGTTTTTTTTGCCTTCCTCTGGATCAACTGTGCGTATAGGATTATAAATTTTTTTTTCTTCTATGGTTGAACTGGATGGACTTTTGTCTTTTTTCAGCCAAGCTAACTATAAATGCTGCCCCTTTCTGCCAATCTTTTCATTGGCTTCCACCAACCCAACATATAAAGTTCAGAATACTAACCACAACACTGCCCCTAGCTACATCACCAACCTCATCCACAGATATCGTCCAAATTGCCAGCTCCGCTACTCCCAAGACATCCTGCTCTGTAGCTCCCTCATCACGCTTGCCTCCAGGACTTCTCCAGAGCCTCTCCCATGCTCTGGAACTCACTACTGCAGTATGTCCAGTCAGCCCCCCACCATGTCTGCCTTTAGAAAAATTCACTTATTCAGGGAAGCCTACCCCACCTCCACCTAAGAACTGTACTTGAGCCACCTCCATCAGATCATCCCCCGCAGCGATCACCTTTTCTACCACCTCCCCCTTCCTTTAGATTGTAAGCTTCATGAGCAGGGCCCTCCTATTCCTCCTGTACTGAAATGTATTGTAATTGTACTGTCTCCCTTATATTGTAAAGCGCTGAGCAAACTGTTGGCGCTATATAAATCCTGTATAATAATACGAAGAATATCTACCTCTTGCAATAAGTCATGCAGGTCAAACCTAGCTTTCTCCAAACTGATCCGTCTTATGGCCCATGAAAATAAAACAAAATTAAAACCGTCTTTTTTTTTTTTTTTTTTTTAAAGTCAGTACTGTTTTTGCAGATACCTTGTACTATAGTCACCAGATGTTGAAAGGAGCCCCTAGCGTAGTAATGATGGCAGCCAGGGTCTCTCCTGTGCCTGATTTCAGCGGCAAAGGTCACCTGCAGATTTCACAGGTGTTGTTAATTATCCTGGGCTGACAGCCAATAACCCAGTGCTGAAATGCTGTGGCTTAGCTGCAGTTGCTCTCGTTCCACTTGGAGAAAGAGAGGCAGCGCTACAGAGCTGGAAGGACATACTGGATTCATACCCTCACTATTCAGTGATCGCAGGCTAGTGAGTCCTGATTTCATCCTAAACCTTTAGGGTTCTTTCACATTGCTCCGTTGAAAAAACACAGTAAAAACATGTGTTTTTGGTGTGTTTTTCTGGTTGCTTGACTCCAATCATGCACCAGTCAAACATGGACGCGTGACTCAAAAAGCGCACCTAAAATGCAAAAGATGCGTTTTACATTCATTTCAATGAGATGTGCCTTTTTGATGCTCTTTTTAAACATGCACCAAAATGCAGGACTTTTAGGGCCCTTTCACGCTGATCTGTTTTTGGTGTTTAAAGAGCGGAACAAAAATGGCTGAAAAATGTATCCCTTCAAATCCTGTGGAACTCTTCATACCAATGCGCTGCTGTTGTTTTGCATTTTTAAAGTCCTGCATGATGCATTTTTGGGGCATGTTTAAAATACAAAAATAAAGTGAAAAACCCTCAAACCCTCAAACCCCTATGAGAAAGCCCATCTGGGCGCAGTGTATCTGGTGAACGGTGACGTTATCATGCTGGACAGAGCTAGGATGCCATATGCAGTAGTACTATGAGATATGCCTTGTGTTTTCTTCTGAAATGTGAGTGTGATTTTAATTCTATATTAAAGCTGGATTAGTGATCTACACTATCTGGTATACTTCTTGCTTCCCTTATGTTTTCTTTGGAACTGAGGACTTGGTGACCGGGGTGTGTGGAGATATCAAGAGAAGCAGTGTCCCTGTATTGATAAAGTGCAATTGACCTCCTTTAGCACAGTGGGGTCCTGCAGTGAAGGTGAGAGGACACCATGAGGTGTGATGTAGGGCACTGTGGTGTGTTTTAAGGTGAAGATCATCTGTTGGGAAGAGAACTGCATATTCTTTTAGGATTGCACATTTATTGGATGGTGTATGGGACTCCTATACAAACTTTTTATGGTCTTTTATTCACCATTTGAATTTATATGTTTGTATCACTAAGCACTAATACACATTATTTGGAGTCGTTCAATATATGTGTGTGTGTGTGTTTGTGTGTATATATATATATATATATATATATAGTTGTGTTCAAAATAATAGCAGTCAGACATCACTAACCTGATCAATCACTGTTTTTGGTAGAAATGATATTTCTACATGGCAAATAATTTACTAGCAGGTGTAGTAGAGTAATAGAAATCCAACAGACCCAACAGTCATGACATGCATGCTGCTGATTCTGTGTAATTGAATCACTAATTGAAAGGGGCATGTTCAAAATAATAGCAGTGTGGAGTTCTATTAGTGAGGTCATTCATTCTTTGAAAAACAGGTGGCAATTATTGCCCTTATTTAAGGAAGGAAGGCAGCAATGTTGTACATTCTGGTTACAGTGCATTTCTCTGAAATTCTGAGGAAAATGGTTCGTTCCAGACATTGTTCAGAAGAACAGCGTACCTTGATTAAAAAGTTGATTGGAGAGGGGAAAACATATAAAGAAGTGCAGAAAATGATAGGCTGCTCAGCTAAAATGATCACAAATGCTTTAAAATGGCAACCAAAACCTGAAAGACGTGGAAGAAAGCGAAAAACTACCATTCGAATGGATAGAAGAATAGCCAAAATGGCAAGGACTCAGCCAACAATCAGCTCCAGGAAGATCAAAGAAGGTCTAAAGTTACCTGTGAGTACTGTTACAATTAGTAGACGCCTATGTGAAGCCAAGCTATCTGCAAGAAGCCCCCGCAAAGTCCCACTGTTGAAAAAAAGACGTGCTGAAGAGGTTACAATTTGCCAAAGAGCACATTGACTGGCCTAAAGAGAAATGGCGCAACATTTTGTGGACTGATGAAAGTAAGATTGTTCTTTTTGGGTCTAGTGGCGGAGACAGTTTGTCAGATGACCCCCAAACACTGAATTCAAGCCGCAGTACACTGTGAGGACAGTGAAGCATGGCTGCGCAAGCATCATGATATGCGGATGTTTCTCAAACTACGGTGTTGGGCCTATTTATCACATACCAGGGATCATGGATCAGTTTGAATACATCAGAATACTTGAAGAGGTCATGCTGCCTTATGCGGAAGAGGAAATGCCCTTGAAATGAATGTTCCAACAAGACAACGACCCCAAACACACCAGTAAACGTGCAACATCTTGGTTCCAGACCAACAAGATTGACGTTATGGAGTGGCCAGCCCAATCCCCGGATCTTAATCCAATAGAAAACTTGTGGGGTGACATCAAAAATGCAGTTTCTGAGGCAAAACCAAGAAATAGAGAAGAACTGTGGAATGCAGTCCAATCATCCTGGGCTGGAATACCTGTTCACAGGTGCCAGAAGTTGGGTGACTCCATGCAACACAGATGTACAGCAGTTCTCAGAAACAGTGCTTATACAACTAAATATTCATTAAGTGATTCAAAGGAAAGCAAAATCTTCAAACATTTTTCAGTTTATATAGTGAATGTTTGAGTTTGTAAAGAAGAATACAAACACTGCTATTTTTTTGAACAGTCTAATACTCACTTTTCTTCAATTTTCTTAGAGGAACAACACAAATTTGATATATTTTTTCTTCATGTTTTGATTTGGAATAGAATGTGTAGTGTTCCCAATGCATTTGTGTGTATGGAAATAAAAGCTATTAGGATTTTGAGCTTTATTCACTTTTTTCAACACACTGCTATTATTTTGAACACAACTGTGTATGTATGTGTGTGTGTGTATGTATATATATATATATATATATATAATGTGTGTGTACATGATCATTGATTAGAAATTTATGGAAGCACTGCGCAATTTGTGAGATAAATGTTTAAAATGTACCTCCCCATTGAAATGAGTAGAAAACACATCAAAAAGCACACAGTGGTTGCATTTTTGGTGTGCTTTGAGTCAAATGCCCATGTTTCACAGGTGCAACTCAACAGGCTGAATGAAAAAAAAAATTGAAAGATTGTCCTACGAACACCTGTGACACATGGTTTTTCAGCATGTCCCTTCAACAAAAGCTGATTGTTAGACCAGCTTCTGTCAGACAAACTGCTATACACACTGACCGAATGTCGACCGGTTCCTGCTGAACCTGCCAAACCTGCCAATGTTCAGACACTGTGTACCCAACATAGCTTTCCATGCACTGAAATAAATTCTAAAACAATGCTATCATTCTTCCTAGCTATCTTCTAGAGATAAAGGGGTGGGGTGTTTGTAGACAAATCTGGTGAACAGTTTAGGGTGAAAATGCTGCTCTTGCACAGATTGGACAGGATTGCAGCACAGTGGCTAAATGGTTAGCACTTCTGCCTGCCCGTACTAGAATTGTTGGTTCGAATCCCAACCACGGCACCACCTGACTGGAGTTTTCATGTTTTCCCTGTGCCTGCGTGGGTTCTCTCTGGGTACTCCGGTTTCCTCCCACACTCCAAAGACATGCTGGTAGGTTAATTGGCCCGTCTAGATTGGCCCTAATATGTGTATATATAAATATAAGTTAGGGACTTTAGAT